GCATCGCCGTCGGCGCTGACGTAAGAGCCACCACAATCGAGGGCCGCGTGCGGCACACACGCCGCGGCGCGAGACAAAAACCCACGGAGCGTCGCGGCGAGTCCAGGCCAGGGTCACACGCATGACGCGCGCATGACATGACTCGTGACGACGACGCGTGACGTGACGATCAGCCCCGGCGGCGCGCAGAAGGGACGGCGGGCAGATGTGGCGGAAACGCACCGGCCCTACATCGGGGGAAGCTGGGCGACAGCCGACGAGCTGCGGGTCAGGTGTCGCCCGGTGACCTATATCGACGACAGGGCGCGTCGGCCCGCACACGGGTCGCACGTGTGCTGTGCTCGAGCCCCCGCTGTCGCCCTCGCTGAGCTCACAGCACGCTGAGCCGGGTCCGACCGACCCGGTAAATCGATCGCGGAAAGTGCGGCGGCGACCGCGTCGATCGGTTTCGTTCGTCAGTTCGGAGGGCGCGGACTGCTGCCATACCGCAGGTCAGAGCCGCCGCTCCACAGGACAAGTGTGTCGACAACGAGAACGGAAATGGGTGAAGCTGGTATGGCGAGTGGGCACGGCGACATGCGAACATATTTTCATGATCATACAGTACAGCAGAGCCAGCCACCGAGCATGAGCATTGAACATGACAATTTTCCCCAAATTGACTCAACGATCAGTTTGTGCGGCCCACTAGGTAGCCTGGGAGCTGAGGCAGACCCAGACCAGTCCAGGCACATTCTGACCTAGCAACGCACCCATTTACCTGCTGCACCTGCCCCAGCCCGCGTCCCTGGCCCGTGCCGCTGGCGCTGCCGCTGCCGCCAGGGCTCGGCACTCACGCACGTCCTGTGACGTGGTCGCCGGGCGGGGGCGGGGGCGGGGGCGGGGGCGGGGGACCCGCTGACCCAGTTCGAGCTGCGCCGGGGGCGGAGGGGGGGGGGGGTCGGTCGCATGCGTGCCCTGGGGCGCCATCTGGCCGTGCGGCAGCCTGGGGCGGGCGGGCCGGGCGCAGCGACGCGTCTGGCCCGACCCGGTTACACAACGTGCCGCGGGGACGGCCGGCCCGAGTCGCCGGCGCAGCACAGAGGAAAGGAAGAGAGGGGGACTGGAAAGTGGAAATGTAGACATGGGTATGACAGTATCCGTGGACCGAGCTGAGGATAGCAGAGCTGGTAATATTGCATCGTCCATACTGGGTCACGGCAAGGCAAGACGCCGGCAGGAGACTCCCTTCGCCATCCCAATGTGATACAGATGTTACTTATCAAGCGAACAACGGCTTAGCCGTGTAGCGCGGCTCCGTGACATCAATAGCGCCTCTCCAGATCTCAGCACAAGCGGCTCTCGAGCCGAGAACATGAAGATCTAGACTGCGACACCCGGACGAACCCGTCTGACGGCTCTTAGCTCACCCCCCGGCTGGCCACAGGCGACAGGACACCGGTCGTCGGGCGAGGTGCACAATCTCGACCGAAAGCGCCATCCTCTCTCCTTCTAATCCACACGATTCCCATGAAAAGGTGTCGCACCATCAGCGCCGATTCCACAGTGGAGCATTACACAATGGTCCGGCCAGCTGTCTCCGTCCAAGGATTGCGTAGTGACAGCGTGGGTTCACGGTTCGTTTCGGTCGTCCCTGTTCTTTACGGACAATTTCGGACGTTAGCTAGTTCAGCGGAAACACGCGCACGCACATGGATAACACAATCATCCGGTCCGTCACAGTTTACGTTGGGCTCCGGCATCACGCCTTCACTGTTATTCCCTCGTAGCCCCGAGGCTCCAGGCCCAGGCCGTGACGACCTGCGCGCGCCCACGGGGTCGACACGGGTATTTGCCGAGCGTCTTGGCCGTGACGCAAGTGGAGGAGGGACGCGCGACCCGAGGCTGGGGCGACACGGGCGCTCATTGCGCAACACGCCATCCGCTATTGTGTCGGCGCGAATCCATGGGCCGAAGCGGTCAGTTGAGAAAGCCGCAGCGCATGCCGCGCCGTTTGCAAAAGTTTGCGAAAAACGTTGCTGCTAGGAGGGTGCGCGATACCGCTGCAGGAATAGAGTGGTAGGAGGCGAGGATAAACCGGCTGCAAGGTCCGTTACTTGGCGGAGTCTCACGCCCTTTCACACGCCACAGATTTGGAAGGCGCGATTTAGCTCGATTGCCCAGTTGCCGTGTGCGGTGGATATGGTCGGCATAAATTTATTACGCCATCTGTGTTATTGCAGCACACCCGATGTGGGTCGCGAAAGAAAAGCACACATTCGTTGCCGTTTCTTGCAGACTGCTGCCAGCAGTAGGTACGCACGACTGGAGCAATATTTAACACCATCGTGTTACATAGATCGATGTGCCATCCAACTCCATCGTCCCGTCAGCACCGCAGCGCTCCAGTTCGATCTCGGGCCAACAGCGAGGCGCCGGCCAATGCGGGACACGTGTGTCGTGCATGAAAACAAATCAGATAATTCACTTTCACGTTTCAGCAATGAACGATTAACTCATTGTTACATGTGTTACATGTGAAAGTGGTAAAGCCTTAATGCATATAACTCTAGCCCGCAGCCTGTCGATAATTCAACAACGACCAATGCCTCACGTAATCATTTCGAATATTAATAACTGGAGTAGACCCGGCAAAGTGGTAGGCCGCACCACGAGAGGGTGCATTAGAGGTAGCGGTGCTCTCGGCTGCCCTCGTAGCGCGGTGCCGGCTACTTGCTAACCGGGCGGGGGCGGTGGCGGGGGCGGGGGCGGCGTTACAGCCCCTCGCGGCAGGGGCGGCCGGCAGACACGCCCCTGCCATTCTCCGGTAATGGCTGGCCGGCAGTAACTCAGGCCGGGAAGGCGAGAGACGCCGGCAGAGAGCACCGCTTTCACACCGCCCCCGCCCGATCGACCGACCGGGCACGGCACGCCAGGCCGCGGCATGCCAGGATGGGCTGCCACAGTGTGCATGGTAGGGCGGGATGACTTCCTCAGAGAATACCGTGCGGCAGCTGGGCCATATAGCCGGACATCCGCACTGCTCGCTCATTACGCTCCGAAAGTGTCGTCATGGATCGCCATGAAGCACGGGTGGTCTCAGAGGCGGGAGTCTAACCTCACGAGGTCGGGGCAGGTCACCGGTGCCGGCCGGTGCGCGGCGCACTCGGTCAGGTCACGTCTAATGGGATCCAGTGTTCACCGACCGTCGGCCTGAGGCTTCCCTGTCATCGGGTTTCTGGTTGGACGAGTGCGCGACGCGTGCCTCAGGTCACCTCCGCCCGGTAACAACGTACCGACCGCTGGTGACGGCAGGGGTAATTTCATTCTCGAATTGCCTCATTGGACGGGCATAAAACGCCACAAACGAGGCACCAAAGTGGAGTTATGTGTACGTGACGAAACAGCTAACGAACAGGCGAGCCTAAGAGGATCCCACATAAAAGAACAACACTTTGATAGGTAATGTGTTATCATCCACAATTTATAAGCACTTAAAGACCTGACCGTGTAACCAAATGCCCGATAAAGGTAAGGCCCACTGAGCACCGATGAACGGAGCCGCATTTCACATGTGCTGGAATTTCGCTACGGTCCAGCGATTTGTCTCAGCGAAGGACACAGCTAACCGGACAATGTGTCTGGTGAGAGCAGGTCCCCGTGACGCCCAGCGGGGGTCGGCGGGGGATCAGGCCGTCCCTCACCGGCCGGGCACCCGATATTGTCACCACAAATGCCGCCGATTCCGGAGAAAGTGCGGCAGAGGACGCTGAGAGACGGGTAACGGGAGACGGAGACGGAGACGGAGACGGACCGTATTGTAAATGGGAAGTGGGTCAGCGGGAAAGGACGGAAAGATGAGATGGGGGGAGAAAATGGGAGAGACGAAAGATAAAATATAAATGAATAGGTCCAAGGAACGAGGTGGAAGAGAAAATGGGAGACCGAACATGAGCCATTTAAAGAACTGAAAGCAACGGCAGTGGAGCAGAGACCGAAATTGAAGCGGTGTAACCTCGAAATGGCTGGCGTTCGTTGGTAACTCAGCGGAACATGGCGGAGTTATGAAGCGGTCGCAAACAGCTATATATGGGTGCTCTATCAGCCCCAACGACATAAAGTTAGCAGTGACGGTTGTCGGTCTTAACGAAAAGGTATCTCTCCATGATTAAGAATTCCGGTGGGCAGCACATACGCGAGTTCGAGATGCATGATGCAAAACGGCTTCTACATGCTGGGCAACCACAAATCTCATAGGCAGAGGGGAAAGGTCGAGACAACTATTCCAAACAACCATCACAGAATTAAGTCAATCTCTGGACAGATTGGTAAAGAGCTAGCGCCTGGCCATGAAGGCCAGCACCTTCATCCATCATATTCCCTTCAGCGACCTTGAATTTCGAGCCGGCTGACTGGTGACAATGAAGACACAGTACACACACGCGCCATGAACACAGTAGCGACATGACGGGGGACAAGTGGGTCAAATTACGACACACGGGTCGGGCACAATAGTGAGTCACCAACAGAACAGAATACAGAGAAAAGACCCAAATGTGGACAGGACCCATCTAATAAACGGTGTCGTTGCTATAGATCGGTGTATCACTATAGATCGAGTGCTGTGTGAATGCAGGTTCTTTGGGTGGAGTTGACGAAAATAATAGCATGAATAAAAGCGTGCAAAATCGTTGAAATAGCATGAAACATTAACAAAGCTGCAACTGAAATCATTGCGCCAAAAAGTGAATTGATAACGCTTATGCTGAAATTTGTTTAGGCACCGTTCTGGTCCCAAGAGACATCAGAAGCAAGCAAGAGCACAGTGACCTGACAAACCGTCCACTCGGTAGGCTTCCTTCCAGAGCCTGCCGGTAACCATGGCAGCCGAGTGACGCGAGGACAGCACATACCACAAAGCCAGAACACGATGGATAGCATGCTGACCGCTCAGGTAGAAGAGTGAAGGGCCCCGTCCCTCGCCCCTCTCCACACGCTGGCCAACCAGCGGGGGAACTCACCTTCTAGTTTCATCCCGACGGAAATGCACTTCTGATACCGGCAGTAGGGGCACCGTTTGCGCTGCATCTTATCAATCTGACAACTCTTATCGGCCACACACGTGTACGCCTTTTTGTTCTGCACAGTCCGCTTGAAGAATCCCTTACAGGACTCGCACGTTAGCAGTCCGTAGTGATACCCGGAGACTTTATCGCCGCAGACGGGACACAGTTCCTCGATACCCTCCTTGGTGTCGGGCAGCTCCGGATGCAGGCTGTACTGGCCATGCTCGCCGCCCAGCCCTGCCAGGCCGCCGCCGCCGCCTCCGCCGCCGCCGCCCGCCGCCGAGAACAGACACTGCTCGTCCAGCAGCGGCGAGCCGAGCAGGCTGGCGTTGGAGACCTGCACGGGCGTGTAGACGGGCGGGTTGACGCTGGTCAGACCCGGCAGGCCGCTGGCGGAGGTGGACATGGAGCCGTAGCCGGGCACCTGGTGCACGGCGTGGCCCTGGTGGCCGCCCTGCTGGTGCGGCGGCGCGCCGTGCACCGGCAGCGGGCTGTAGCTGGGCGGCACGTGCGCCATCGGCAGCTCCATGTCGGAGATCATGGTGCTGAGGTGGTCGGTGGGCGACTCCGGCGCGCCGACAGCACTCTGGCTGAGCGGCCGGTCCAGTTCGAGCTCCAGCGCGGCGTCGGCCGACTCCAGCTCGGCCGCTCGGTCACCACTGGCGCTGTGCACGTGCGTGGCTCGCTGCGCTGCGCTCTCGGCGCGCTCCGCACCCCACGTCGGCTGGGCGCGTACTGACACCCGTACGGCGGCTAGTGAAAGTGATTCGGCGCTGACCCAATTCGGTTTCTTTAGGGCCCATCCAAGTCTGATAGCGGCTAGCCCAGTGACCTACTTCACAGCCGCGAGCAGCAAGGGCCCGCCGAGCGCCGCCGGCACCGGTCACGGGGGCCCTTGTTGCCCGTCGGCCCCCCGACCGACAGCGGGCAAGAACGGCACAGGGAGCGCCGGCGGCTGCGTCCGCGGCGGCCGGCGGGGGTAGCGCGTGTCGTTCTGTTCCGACGCGGCCGGCTGCTAATTCATTCTGTGGCCCAGTTAGTACAGCCCGCAGACGGCAGGGCCAGATCGTGACCTTGCTCCTCCCGCCTGGTTCCGAACCGGTGCAAAAGAAAGTGAACTCAAGCCGCTAGCTCGGCTATGCGCACAGTGCTTAGCAATTCCAACGGCATTTTACAATTGAGCATTGAAATGACCAAGCCCTGCTAAACGGCTCAGTTACCAGGCCAAGCGTAAAGCAAGTTTAGTTCATACCATGTCTTATGTAAAAAAAGTCGGGAAGTCTAATCTCATGACCCTCATTGTGCTTAGGGGTAAGCGACGTGAGCGAATAAGACGTTAATACAATTAAAACCTGTGATCATGCATAGCAACGCTGGAGCCAAAATCTCATACACGATAGTTTTCCTTTCTTATGACAGTTAAACCGCATAAAATCTTCGTTTCTTTTCTTTGTTTTGCCCGTCACGTCACCTTATTTTCCTGGAGCTTATTAAGGTGTAAAAATAGGTAACTGTCCTTATCGGAATGCACCTTTATTTTCACGTTTTGAGCGAAGAAAAAACGCTAGCGGTAGATGCTACAACATGGACCAATTTAGACACATCATTTTTAATTATCGCTTTTTTCACGAAATATTCGCAATAAAATGCCACTCTACATCGTGAAACGCCCTTATTAATGCTAGCTAGCGGTACAATTCATTACCATGTTTTAGACGATTCATTGTAGCAAATACACCCGTAGCTCTATAGACCAACATTTTATCAATACACCTCAAAGAAATTATGAATTCTATTATAGTTCCATTTGGCTGCATCGTCCGCATGTGACTTGGCCTGATTAACGAAATGTTAAAAAAGTAGGTTACAGCTACACAAATGTTTAGGATGACGCGGTATATCCGGCACGACATGCTATATAAATTCACCACTGCGTTCGATAACGGTGCAGCAGGCGCCCAAAACTATCATTACAAAATGGCAAAACCTTCAGATGCATCTGAGGTGTCCATAGTTAATGGCTGTATTAGCAGCGACAAACTCTCCATAGATGGCAGCACCATCGAACGCCTGAAGTTATGCTGTGCCGCCTGGCTCAGTTCGAGCGCCTGAAGTTATACTGTACCGCCTGGCTCAGTTCGAGCGCCTGGAGTTATACTGTACCGCATAGCACAGATACAGGCGCGCAGGCTTCGGCCGCACAGAGGCGCTCTGGGGCCTATGGTGTTTTCTGCAATGTTAAAATAAAACTCTCTGTCAATCTAATGATTGATTAGCTACCTAGATGCATCTCTTACAAGACACTGTTGTTCATTACGCTTGCTTGAAAATTAACAAGCCCGTTACTTGTGCTCGAATATAAATGTCAACACACCAATAAGATTTCGTGCATTGTCAGCACGAATTACATAGAGCCAAATGCCAATCGAAACCTCCAGAACAGAACCCACCTCTTGACTCCATCCGATCCTAAAACCGAGAAACGAGACCTTGGCCCAAAACTGAGAAACCAGTAACGCCCGACAGCCCAGCGGCTTTTTGGCTACTCAACCACCAGCAAACGGCCAGTTTAGCGTACCCAACCATTCAGCCACTTCATCCCAGGGCGGCAAACTATCCAACCGTGCATTATTCCAACCACCCGACTGGCCAGCTGTCCAACCATACGATACGGCCATTCGGGCGACATCACTTTCATTTTCTGCTGCGCTGCCGCCGCTGCCGCTGCCGCTGCCGCTGCTGCTGCGGGCCGGGCCGGCGACAGGTGCAGACACGCACCGCCGTGTCATCCGCTATTACACAACACGGGTCGCGCTCCATCGCCGCAGCAGGACGGCTGTAGAGCCTGCAGCACGACCCGGCTTGGAGTTCTGCCCAGCCAAACTCCTTCAGTCACCCGGCTTGGAATGGAGCCCTCCAGCCATCCAATCTCGAACAAAAGAGCCGCCCGACCTGAAGAACAGCAGCCGCCCGACCTGGAGAACAGCAGCTGCGTGACCTGGAGAACAGTAGCTGTCCGACCTAGAGAACAGCAGCTGCGCGACCTGGAACACAGCAGCCGCCCGAGAACGACTTCCTAGCGGCGGCGTGCAGACCACGGCACATCGGCCGCACAGGTAGTCCGGGTACTGAAGCCGTGGAACTGGATGATGGAAAGGTACAATGAGTATGAAAGGAGAGAGAGAGAGAGAGAGAGAGAGAGAGAGAGAGAGAGAGGGGGGGGGGCAGGGAAGGGTCGGTAAGGTAATGCTCAGCAAAACCGCAGTGGAAACTTATAAGTTTAAACTAAGTTTTTAAACTTAGAGTTACTAAATTTGCATTCAATTAGGTACTAATATTAGGAAGTCATTGGCAGTATGTAATTGGGTCTTGGGGATATCTAGAATTATCGTTCCAGTAAAACTTAGGTATCCATGAGAAGAAGACGAATACATTAACTTAGTAATTGTTTACTAGCTGTACTTCTTCAGCTTGGGGATTGTGTGACTACTGTGACTGAAGTATTGACGGCAAATCGGCGCAGGCTTCGGGAACTTCAAAGGTGTTCGTTCACCAATATAAATTCTGTTCAAGAGGTCTTAGGCTTTGGTCATTGCACCTCTCATGAATCGAATCAGAAGAACCGTCTCTTTAGCCAGCGGTCTTGCCAGCGGTGGCTCTCTTGAATAACCATTAACGACAAACTAAGCTCCATCGTTTGAATACAGGGGCAGAAGTCATTATCCAATAGCGCAGTTGTCTGTCATCGTCGGTAACGATCACGAGCGGGCGTGCTGGTCGGGTCCAATCAGTTATCGTCAGGGTCAGCCGTCACAGCGCGTGGCTCTGTCACGAGCCGTCCACGGTTGACACCGTGCGGCACCGTCCAAGGTGACAACAGCCGGCCAGCCGTATACCGCCGTGGGACCAGCGCCATCGAGCCGCGCACGACCCGGGCGCAGCGGCGCACACCGCGCGGACGAGCTAGTCAGTCAGTTCCGCCGAAATACATACAGGGAGGCTGCATTCATGCCTGAAAATAGCGTGCAATGGATTAGGGAGAACTCTATGAAAACCGTTAATGAGCGCATTTGCCCATACATTCTTGTTCAATGCATCAGCACCATCATTCATTACGACATCGAAACCACTTGCCCCTATCGAACAATGGTCCTTGGCGCTCTACTTGACCCTGTTCACTTCAAATAGCAATGACAAAAGGGACACTTTTAAACACGAACTTTTAAACGAAAATTTGAAATCTACCAAGGTATGCGATGCAGCATTTTGAAGAAGAAAGAAGAAATAGTCCGCCAAAAAAATTGCTCCTTTCCTAAGCGAAAGAGGTCATCATTAAATCAAAATGGCATTCCAACTGACGCAAGGGCTCGACCGAAAAGTATGGCTGACAGCATCGTCAGATTTCATAAAAATGAAACAATTGGAAATTACGAAGTTGTGTTTTTCACAAAGTCACTTAACGTTGCACTATTTATCAAGCACAGTTTAATATATTCCCTAAAGCAGCACCCAAACATGATTGCACGCATCTCAGAGAAGACGGATACACTGTTACCACCTTTAGAAGTCAGACCCGAAATTCCATCATGCATTTCCCTCGTGTGATTTGAGTTTCACCCAGGAAAGTCGCGGTGCGGGCACCATGCGTATAGCTCTGTGCGTAACAGGAGATACGGTGCGTGGCCGGCCGAGCCGCGCGGGAACCATCAGCTCGCGCGCGGGGAAGTATGCCGGTCGTGGTGAAAGGGGCGCCGCCGCTCTCCTCCGGTCGACACACCCCCGGCACGCCGTCACAGCGGTCCTTCCCCGTCCCGGCGGCGCTCTCAGGACCACAACAGCGTGGCGGCGCCGGTCAACACCAGCCGCCGGCGCAGTCCCGAAATAAATAGGAAAGTCGGCCGGTCAGCGGCAGTGTGCCTTTCTCCGTGCCCCGTGTGAATGACCCGGCCCGAGGGCAGTGGGAGCCGGTGCCGGCGCGCAGGTACGGTACGCAAACAGGGTGCCATGGGAGTCCGGTCAGTGACCGGCGAGAGGAGAAGGGAGGGTGATCAGAGAGCGCGGCACTGGCCGGGGCATCAGCTGATATGAGAGGAGAAGGAGGGGTGACTAGAGAGCGCGACACTGGCCGAGGCATCAGCTGTTATTGCTGTCAGCTCTCGGCGATGTGTGCGCAAAGGAACGCTGCGCGCCCACGTGGCTGCAACTGTAAGGTCGCAGTGAGGGGACAGCAGGTTCTCGGCGCAGTCCAGCGCCAGAAGGCCCTCAGGACAGCTTCCCGATTCTTTGTTTTCAGCGCAGCACCCGCGCAGCTCCGGTCAGACTCGTGGGACAGCTCCGGTCGGACTCGCAGCCGGCGGGTGCGCGGAAGAGCGCTCAATGTCAGACACGTTTGCGGAAGCCCGACAACCGCCAGGCACGAACTGCGCGGTTAACAGTGCACCCCGAATGTCAAGGTCAATGGCAAAACGAGTGCTCAGTAACCCGCATAGTTACTGCAGTTAGCATCAGGCGCGGATACAAGGGGGGGGGGCCATGGGGGCCATGCCCCCCCCCCTTGGCCGATTTTTTTCAAAAATAAAATAAAAAGTTAAAAAGTTAAAAAGCTGAAAAGGGGGCCTCCTGAAAATAAAGTGGCCGAAATCCGATGAGTTTTTTTTTTAACCTACCCACTTAGTTATTTCTTAGAAGACTAGCTGAGAAGACTTCTTTGTTAGAAGATTGGTAAAGCTTTTCAT